GGGGGGGGCACGGCAGGATTCCGGCAGCCTCCCCACGCATTACAGCTCTTGCATCCGGAGCTCAGATGGGCGCACGGTGAGGAAGGCACACCGGAGAAAGGGAAAGAACCCTGCACACGAGCCCTGGGCGGCCCGCACCCACGCGAGGGAATAAAGCGCAGGCAGGAGACTGGTCAAAATCCTGCCTCCCAGAAACGCAGGCTGGGCCCACCCTCTCTTCCGCTATCTCTCCTCCCCATCCCAGAGCCTCCCAAGACCTTGTTAACCCACAGTGGTCTATGGGACAGGTGGTTCAAGGGGGCGGGGGCAGGGAGAAAAGCCCTCCCTATGTAAACTGAGGCAGGGCGCAAGGAAACACAGCCATGTTATTTTCAATCAAGTGTGTATACCATCAGTATCCAAACCTGAAGGGAAGGAAGGAAAGAAAGAGGGAGGGTGGGAGGTGGGGTAGAAAACCACACAGCCCGGCACCACACGCAAAGGTTTGTGGGAAAAATTCCAAAGGAAAGATGTTTAACAAGCAGAACCCACGAGTGCATTAAAGGAATAGCATAACTTGTCTAGAATGTTCCCTTCTGGATGAAAGGATGGGTCAGCAGTTTTTGGAAAGTTCATTAATATGATTCAAGAAAATTCATTAATGTAATTCACCATATTCACGAGTTTAATCGGGAAAGTCATACCGTGACCTTCATAGGTGCTGAAAAGGCATGTGGCAAATTCAGCATCCTATTTTTTTTTTTTTAACGTTTATTTTATTTTTGGGACAGAGAGAGACAGAGCATGAACGGGGGAGGGGCAGAGAGAGGGGGAGACACAGCATCGGAAACAGGCTCCAGGCTCCGAGCCATCAGCCCAGAGCCCGACGCGGGGCTCGAACTCACGGACCGCGAGATCGTGACCTGAGCTGAAATCGGATGCTTAACCGACTGTGCCACCCAGGCTCCCCAGCATCCTATTTTTTAAAGAAGATTTTTTTAATGTTTTATTTATTATTTTGAGAGAGAGAGAGAGAGAGAGAGCAGGGGAGGGGCAGAGAGAGAGGGAGACACAGAATCTGAAGCAGGCTCTAGGCTCCGAGCTGTCAGCACAGAGCTCGACGCAGGGCTTGAACTCACGAACCGTGAGATCATGACCTGAGCTGAAGTCGGACACGTAACTGACTGAGCCACCCAGGCGCCCCTTTTCAAAAAGAGTTTTTAAAGTAAACTCTCTGCCTAACGTGGGGTTTGAACCCACGACCCCAAGATCAAGAGTCCCATGCTCCACTGACTGAGCCAGCCAGGCGCCCCATGGCCTGTCTTTTTAAATCAAGAATAGCTGTTCAGAGGCCCCTGGCTCGTTCAGTGGACCACGGGACTCGATCTCGAGGTCATGGGTTCAAACCCCACGTTGGGCATAGAGTTTACTTTAAAAAAAAAAGCCCCCCAAACCATAGAGGTGCAACTCTTGATCTGGGGTTATAAGTTCAAGCCCCTCGTTGGGTGTAGCGATTACTTAAAAAAAGAAATAAATAAAATCCTTTAAAAGCTGTGAAAGAATTCCTTTATCACCATGGAGAGGAGCAGGCCTTCCTTTCTAATCATGACATAAATTCCAAAAGCCAAAAAAAAAAAAAAAAAAAAGATGGAAAATTCGGTTACAAAAGGATTGTTTACGTGCAAAAACACCGATAACAATAGCACAGCCACAAAATCAAAAGACAAACTGGAAAAAACGTTGGCAAAGAGCCAACCCCCTCCCCGCCCCCCAGTATCTAGGGGCTTCTAGAAATTGGTATGGAAACCACAAACTGCAGTCAAATCATAGATAAAGGACATAAAGAAAGAGTTCCCAGAAAAAGAAATGCAAATACATCCGAAATGCATGAAAGTTGCTCAACCTCTCTCGTAAGAAATGGAAAATATAACTATGCTCTGTTACCACTCATCACCCATGATATTGGCAACACCCTGTAGTAACCCGCTGAGTTAGGGAGCTGGGGACAGCAGCAGTGGCTGTGTCCCCAGGGAAGACAGCGGGGGGTGCCTCTTAAAGCCACAAGCTCACTTACACTTGAACCCAGCAATACCACTTCTGGAATTTTTTTTTTGTTTAAGATGTTATTTTTAAAGTAATCTCTACACCCAACGTGGGGCTCCAACTCCTAACCCTCCGAGATCAAGAGTCGCACACTCCTCCGACCCAGCCGGTCAGGCGCCCCTGGAATGTTTTGTTTTGTTTTTTCTTAATGTTTATTTATTTGTTTTTTAGAGAGAAAGAAAGAGAGAACGATCAGGGGAAAAGCAGAGAAAGGACAAGAAAGGACAGGGGAGTTGCGTGAAGACGCTTCCTCCGTCAAGGCCCTTGGTTGAACTTAGGAGAGTTTGCAAAGATGAGGTTTTGTAGCGTGTGAGGCCCGGGAGATCTTCCAGGGAGGGAAGCAAGCCAAGCTTTCTTAAGCTGAAGTCCGGCTGCGGTGTGAACCCAGGGGAGAAGCTCACCTTCTCTTGCTCCCAGGCTCTGCCACGTCGAGCGGGCCCAGCTGGATCTGAAACGCGGAAAAGGAAACAGGAAGCGGGACACAGGGGGACAGATGGCCACGCCGATGGTGGTGGCGAATATTCGTTGTCAGGCCTATTCGTTATCCCGTTTAATTTTACCACCGTAAGCAGGAGCTCTCTGCTGATTGCTGAGGACCCTGGGGTCAGAGGGGGAAGTGAACTGCCTGAGGTCATTTGGCCCCTCCTGCCACCTTACCAGGTGGAGCCCTTGTCTAGAAAAGTCAGCCCAATGGCAATCCTAGTTCTATAAGAACCAGGGGTCCACTTTACACGAATCGATTTAATGACACACTCTGGAGGCTTGGCAGCTGTGACCTAAGGCTGCCTGCCTCCCTCCCCGGAGCCCCCGAGCCCCTGAGAAGTCTTCCGCCAAGGAAGGATGCGTAGCGTGCCGGGAACACTGCAGTCCCGGGTACGACCAGCAGGTGGCGGCGCAGCTGCACCAAGCCCAGCCCCCAGCAACCCCAGAAAAACAGAAAAATACACATCTAAAAATTCCTTGGCCTGGACGCAGACAGTCAGTTGGAGATTCCGGGAGCCTTCTGGCAAATCCGGGAGGTTTGACCTTCTGCTGTAAGCAAAGCCTAGGGGCGTCCATGACAGGCAAAGGGCAGGGGAGAAGAGAACATTTTTTTAGCATATGGGAAAGGGAAATGGAAAGAGACGAGAATTCTCTCACAGATGCCTTGGGTTTCGGTGGGGTGGCGATAGCGGTGGCGACCGACCTCTAGCCGCCCAGTTCTCCCAAGTGAGGCGCGCTTCCCGAGCAGCTGAATTCCCTGGAGAGCTTCTTTTTATTTATTTTTGTATTCTTTGTCACGTTTATTTTTTAGAGAGAAAGAGGTAGAGTGTGAGCGGGGGAGGGGCAGAGAGACAGGGAGACCCAGAATCCGAAGCAGGCTCCAGGTTCCGAGCTGTCAGCACAGAGCCCGACGCGGGACTCGAACCCACGAACCCGGGAGATCATCACCAGAGCCAGATCATAACCAACTGAGCCACCCAGGCGCCCCCCCCACACCCCCACCCCGGGGAAGCTTAGTTTTAAATGCAAATTCCGGGGCCTCCCCTCACAGCAGGACCTGGGAAACTGCGTGTTTTAGCCAAAACGCCTGTGGCTTCTGCGGCTCCTCGCCCGCCCGGGTCGGTTCTCTCTCCACCGCTCTCTACTTGCTATTTTAAAATTCATAATGAGCTCCTGCCCTGGGAGGCAGGGTACGGAGGCAGGCAGCCCTGGCCTGGAAATCCGGGCCCAGAAGCCCCGCTCCTCGGCCTCCTGGCTGGGTGCCAGAGGGGCCGGGGTTGCCCAAGCCTTCTGGGGAGTTCGGGGCCCAGACACCTATCCCCGCCACACCCACACTTCCAGCACCCTCCCAGACTTCCCTCCAGAACTGACTCAGCCGGTTGCCCTCACAGCCCCGGAGGTGACTTCTGGCTCCCTGGCTGGCCCTATTCTGATCCCCATCCTGAATTCCAGCCCTAAACTGGGAGTTGATGCCCAACGACGAGGGGCTAGAGGCCACGTGGCCGCTGGAGAGCGCGTCTGGGCTTTGACCTCTGGTTCCCGTCCCCACTCTGCTGTGTGACCTGGGGCAAGCCGCCTGCCTTCTCTGAGCCTCGGTTTCCTCGTCCGGAGGAATTAGCACCGACTCTCGCCCGGGCTGCTACGAGGGGTGCGTGAGAGGGGTACCGACCGCAGGGTCAGCACGGAGCCAGGCACATAGCAGGTCCTCGGGGCCGGGAGCAGCTGCTACTAAGAGGCTCCGCCTAGGTGGGGTGCTGGGGAAGGGGGGGGGCCTCCGCCCCTCCTCACACCAAGCGGGGTCAGGGAGGTATGACTCCACTCACTCCCCCAGGCGGCAGGCCTGCTTACCTCCAGGCCCCAACCGGGGGCTTCGAAGGGATGTCAGGGGATCGTAGCCGCCCTCTCCACCCTGGGGGGGAGCCTCCAGTCCAACAAAGGCAACCTGGAACTTTGAAATAGAAGCTTCCCAAAATAGTGGGTCTGCAAGCTGGTGTCCCCTGCTGCCTGGCGGGGAGGGGAGGCGGGTGGCAAGGAGGAAACTAGTGCCGGCTGGGGCCCTCCCACCAGCCTCCCTGCAGCCTCGGAGCCCAGGGAGGGAGGGCCCTGCCCAGTCCCCACCTCCGTGCTTTAGCCAAAGCGGCCTGAAATTGTCCCAGCACCGCCGAAAGTCAGGCCAGCGGTTCCCTGATTTCAAGGGCCACATGTAGAGGAATCTGGAAGTTCGGATTTAGGAATGTGAGGAGGCCACCCGCAGAGAGCTGCAGAAGCCTTTCTCGGGAGCTAGACCTGACTTTCTGGCCCAGCAGCCCACGCTGAGATTAAACTTTAACCGCGGCAACAGCCCAGTTGGTATTTCCTCCACAACTGTAATTCAGTAACATCACCCCATGGCCTCATTTTTTCCTTTTTTTTTTTTTTTTTTTAAATATTTGCTTCATCCTTTTACTCTTGGTGCTAGAGCCGGAGAAACGACGTGCCTCGATGCCCCAGGCAGCCTGGGTACCGTGAGCTCTGTCCCTGGTGCCCAGACTGGTGCGCAGTCATTCCTGGAAACAGAGTCAGGAGGACTTTCTTCAAAGCATCCGGGGCATCTCAGGACTGGCTTGGCCGGGTTGCCGGACTGCTGTCCCTGTCCCGCTGCAGGCCGACCAGGGCAGAAGGCGCGATGAGCCAGGGTTCCCACACTCGCTAGCGGTTCCCGACGGCAGCGGATCACTCCTTGGCTCCCTGGCCCCTTCCGTACCCGCCGTGGCTGCCCGCAGCTCCGTCCATGGCGTTCGCCGAGCTCCTGGACCGAGCGGGGGGCGTGGGCCTCTTCCAGGCCCTGCAGGTTTTCACTCTCTTCCTTCCCTCCGTCTTGGTGCCCTCCCACATGCTCATTGAGAACTTCTCGGCCGCCGTGCCCAGCCACCGCTGCTGGGTGCCCCTCCTGGACAACAGCACCGCCCAGGCCGGTGTCCCCGGGGCCCTGGGCCCCAAGGACTTCCTGACCGTCTCCATCCCCCCGGGCCCCAACCACGAGCCCCACCAGTGTCGCCGCTTCCGCCAACCCCAGTGGCAGCTCCTGGACCCCAACGGCACGGCCACCAACTGGAGCGAGGCCGCCACGGAGCCGTGCGTGGACGGCTGGGTCTACGACCGCAGCACCTTCACCTCCACCTTCGTGTCAGAGGTATGGGCCTCCCGCCGCCGACCTGGCCTCCCCGGGGGCCAGCGATGGCCCCCCCCCCCCCCATGCCTGGAAGGATTGTACGGCTTCCATCAGCACTGTTAAATTAGATGCTACTCCCTCAACACATTTTGACTCACTGCTCACGACGGGGAAGTGAGCGGAGTCAGACCTCCCTGACCCCCTGATCTGGATAAACAGGGAGGCTTGGAGGAGCTTACGTTCCGCGGGCAGATTCAGAATCGGTCAATGTTTATTTATTTACTTATGTATTTATTTGTTTATTTTTCAGCTTGTTTGTTTGAGAGAGACAGATGCAGAGTGAGTCGGGGAGGGACAGAGGGAGAGGGAGAGAGAAAATCCCAAGTGGCCCAGAGCCCGATGTGGGGCTGAAACTCATGAACCATGAGATGGTGACCTGAGCCGAAACCAAGAGTTGGACGCTTAACCAACTGAGCCACCCAGGCGCCCCAGACGGGTCAATATTTAAACTAGTGCTGATAGGAGATCAAACTCCTTTAAGTGGCAGGCATCATTCCGTGTGCTTTCCCTTCGTGTCACTACGATCTCCCGGGGGGTCTCTTACTGTCGTCTGCATCTAACAAATGCATCCAAACAGAAGCACAGTGAGGTTAAGTAACTTGCCCAGGACACACAGCTCAAGTGCACTGGAACCTGACTCAAGCCAGGCGGGCAGGAGCTAGAAGCCGGGTCTTGGGCATGTCCTGTCCTGCCTCTGCAAAGGAGAAAAGCAGCTCGGGGGAGAGGCAGGTGGGGAAGGCCTCTCCGGAGATGAGGCCCGGATTAGGCGACGAGGAATCAAGTGACTGGAAGGTGGGGCGAGAGCCCAGTTGAGACAGAGGTCTGAGTAGGAGCGGGTCTGGGGTGTCGCAGGAGCGGGAGGGGCCCCAGCGTGTCTGGGCAGAAAGGGTCAGGGGCTGGGCCACCGTGTGGGGAAGGTCAGTGAGGAGCAAAGGAAAGCCACTGGAGGCTTTGGGGCAGGGAAATGGGATCCGCTTTGCGTTTTCTAGAGATGCTTTCGCCCTAGGGGGCAAGGGGCTCCTGCCACAGTGCTGGCGGCCCCGAGAGGGAAGCAGCTTCAGGGCCCCGCTTCTGGGTGAGGAAACGGCCCAGCCGGGGGCCGGAAACCCGCCCCCCCCCCCCCCGCCGGCTCACCCAGCCATCGATCAGCAGAGTTAGAAGCCCAGCCTGTGGTTCAGCCACTGCCCACCGCCGCCATCCACTCAGGGTGGCCGGTCACACATGTGCCACTCAGCTAGCTGGGAGTACAGAGCCAAGGCCCCCGCCAGTACACCCCTGCCACCTCTGTCACCTGGCCCTAGGAATCTGGGGCCCCCCAAAACCCAGGCTGACCAGGTGCTCCAGCCTGGGAGCTCCCGACCCGGACCTCCCTCTGCCACCCAGGCCCTGCTATTCCACGTGCCCTGAGCCAAGCTGCTGTCCCTCTTTCTCTTCCAGTGGGACCTGGTGTGTGACCACAAGGGCCTGAAGCCCATCGGCCAATCCCTCTACATGACCGGGCTGCTGATAGGGTCCTTCTCCTGGGGCCTCCTCTCCAACCGGTGAGTATCATCTGTCCTCCTGGCTCCTCCTCAACAGAATGAGCACTGTGGGGACAGATGTACAAAAATGGCCCATGAATGTCCACGTTCCTGGAGAGACGGGGCTCCCTTGGTCTGACCGGGGGTCTAGATGTGAGTTCCAGGTCTCCAAGGGGCAGCGACAGCCAAGGGGCAG